TATGTATATATATATATATATATATATATATATATATATGTGTGTGTGTGTATATGTATATGTATTTTAGTATTGGATGTGATATACAATTTCTTACCCTTCCCTCTCCTCTTCACAAGCGTCCACGCTTTCCGGAGCTGCGTCTGGTGATAGAACAAGTCCCAGAGGTCCAGCTGGAATCCTTGCAGCAGTTTGACACCAAACTTCTCTCCTCGGGCCAGAAGGCATCGGAGAAGAAGAGGAAGGATCACTTTCGCCGACTCATCTCCGGGTGTATCGGGGTAAGCAGGGATGGGGGCAGGTTCTGGGCTGGAATTTTTGTGATTTTTGTATTAGTTTAAAATATTTAATGTATGCTACCATTTCCACATCTCGGTGTATGTTCCACTATTACAGGCCCATATTTGTACCCTGGGCCAGTACTTATACCATATGTTGGGCTGCTGGCCCCGATTGGATACATTTTTATTCAAACTTTGATCATTGTGGAAAATGTTAAGGGGTTTCATATTGAGCTAATTATTGAGCCTGATGAAGGAGACCCTGTGTGGCCCAGACATCTCTTGTCTTGATGACAGCTATCAATAAAATGGTTTTGCACTGAAAGAAAACTTTCGTGCTGATGACATCTATGTTTGTTACTGTATCCTGAGCTGTGCCATCCACAGTCATTACAAGCACCCATTATTGTTGGGATATCCGGTAAGGAGTGCGGCAAGGTATATACGGACTTCATAATAAGCTATGCCCTATAGGAATGGCAACCTTTCCCCATGGCCACCAATCTGTTTGTTTCGCCCCCCTAGGCCAAAGGTTTCCAGGTCCCCCCCAAGACCAATGCCCCATACCTACAATCCTTCTGTCCATTAAAGAGTGTCTGAGTGCCCAGTAGTGGCAGATGTCATGGGCTTGGCTCTGATCGTGGCCCCTAGTAACTAAGTGCAACTAGTTTAATTGCGGCGCCCAAAGGAAGTTTTGCTGAATAAATGTAGTAGCCATCTCCCTTTTAGTGTCCGCTCTAAATGTATAACAGTTGAAAGTCACTGAATTTTCAGACTTGCACATCGTGATAAAAGTTTGTGCCTCCATATATTACTGATGGCTGTCACTTGTGTTTAATAGACATCTCAGTCCCTTCTGCTACTGATTGGCTGGTTAATAGATATGTCCACCTCCATGATTGCGATGTCGCTTTCTGTAATAATAGCGTTCCTTCTCATTGTAGAAACCTCTTGGCGAGCAGTTTCGGAAAGAAGTTCACATCCGGAACCTTCCCTCCTTATTCCAGAAGAAACCTCGCCCGGTGCTTGAAGAATCGATCCTCGGAGGCTGCGCAGAAGCTCTGCCGTCATTATTTCAGCAGTGATCTCCGGCTCGGTTCCCTGGACCCGCCGGATGGATTCTCCCGAACCACATCCCCCTTACGTCTCTGGACACGGGGTCACTACAGAGAAGAGCATGCTGGTCTCTGACCCGCCTGCAGCTTCTTCATCTCTTCTCCCCCTATGGGGGTCTGATATTCAATAAACTAATATAGACATTCCCTGCCAGCGGTTAACGGTGGTGTTGACTGCCCAGCGCTAGTCAGTCCCCTCATCTGGGACTCCAGCGATCACGGGCCGGTGTTGGAAGATCCGTCGGGGCTGAGGCGATGCCATGCCAGCAGCAGCGGCGGCGTCTTGTACAATATTTGTGTTCTCGAATGAAGGAGGGTGATAATATTAGAGATAATATCTCTGCAACTACCAACCAAAGCACCTCCGGTGTCCAGCGTCCTTCAGTGGGAGGAGCTATTTATTTCATGACCAAACATGTTTTTTTTTAAATCATTTTCAAGAGATGAAATTCATACCGCTGCCAACTTCCGATTCCCATGATCCTTTGCCATTGACCAGACATTGATTTGGTAGTTGGCAGACTTTAGGATCGAAGGGTTTTTTGTTTGTTTTTTTTATCAATTCTGGTGCAGTCGCTCCGTCATCCCCAACCCGAGTGTCCTATTTATTTTCATGTTGATCATCTTTTTAAAGTAATTATTTGAGCGGGAGCCCCGGACTTTCTTCCTGCGTATGGAGGAAAATAAATGGATGTTTGGTAAATGCAAAGTGCGAGTGTTCATTTTCCCCCATTTCCTGTGTCTGGTAAAACTTGTATAAAGTGAACCTGTCAGAACAGAAATGCATATAATGTTCATTGTTGATCAGCGAGCTCTGGGGCCGTCATTTTCATCCTTGCTTTGTTACAGTGTGATTCTGCTAATGGGGTGGTCGGGAGGCTGCACTCTATACTATGGTATGGCAGCTCTCTATTGCCTAGGTGGAGCGCTGATGGAGTCCCTGAGAAAGTGTTGTAGTATAGTGTAAAAGAATGAGAGCGCCAAGCCTTAGGGAATGGTCTAGAGCAGGCTGAGAGCACCATGCCATAAGGATCAGTCTAGAGCAGAATGAGAGCACCATGCCATAAGGATCAGTCTAGAGCAGAATGAGAGCACCATGCCATAAGGATCAGTCTAGAGCAGGCTGAGAGCACCATGCCATAAGGATCAGTCTACAGCAGAATGAGAGGACCATGCCATAAGGATCAGTCTAGAGCAGAATGAGAGCGCCAAGCCTTAGGGATCGGTCTAGAGCAGAATGAGAGCACCAAGCCTTAGGGATCGGTCTAGAGCAGGCTGAGAGCACCATGCCATAAGGATCAGTCTAGAGCAGGCTGAGAGCACCATGCCATAAGGATCAGTCTAGAGCAGAATGAGAGCAGCATGCCATAAGGATCGGTCTAGAGCAGAATGAGAGCACCAAGCCTTAGGGATCAGTCTAGAGCAGGCTGAGAGCACCATGCCTTAGGGATCAGTCTAGAGCAGAATGAGAGCACCATGCCTTAGGGATCGGTCTAGAGCAGAATGAGAGCGCCGTGCCTTAGGGATCAGTCTAGAGCAGAATGAGAGCGCCAAGCCTTAGGGATCGGTCTAGAGTAGAATGAGAGCACCGTGCCTTAGGGATCGGTCTAGAGTAGAATGAGAGCGCCAAGCCTTAGGGATTGGTCTAGAGCAGAATGAGAGCACCCTGCCTTAGGGATCGGTCTAGAGTAGAATGAGAGCACCAAGCCTTAGGGATCGGTCTAGAGTAGAATGAGAGCACCAAGCCTAGTAGGCAAGCTCAGCACTCGTAAACTAATTTTGTGTATTTTACAAAAAAAGTGTGTATTTTGTGTTTTGGGGCATTCAATTTAATTTCAGTGCATTTTTCACTAAATGTTTAGGTTTGATAATAAGTTGCGCTAATATCCTGCAACATAAAAATTTGCAACTGCCGCCATTAATTCTACAGGGTCTTAGCTTTCAGAAAATATATAATGTGTGGGGGGTTGAAGTAAATTTCAGGCCTAAAATGTGGATTATAACGAGTGCAAAAACGAAAAATAAAAGGACTTGGCAGCGAAAGGGTCCTTGTGGGGTTAAAGGAGAACTATGAGGGGGGAGGGGCTTTTCACTCACCTCATAGTTCTAGCCGACCTGTGACAATGAGACTGTCACAGGTCGGCTCAGTAGATCGGGAAGTGAGCGAACACATACCGGCGTTCGCTCACCTCTCGATCCTGTCACAGCTCTCTGCCGTGACAGGGGAGGGGCTGGATTCCCCCCTCCCCGCTCCGATCCACCAGCGCTGACTGGCGGAACGGACGGGGGAGGGGGCGGGTACAGCTGGCTCTGCCTCTAGATAGGCAGAGCCAGCTGTCAGTCACGCAGCTGGGTGGATCCAGACAGACATAATTGTCGTGATCCGCTGCGGCGTCTCAGTATACCGTGAGCTTAGGGTGACGGGAGGACGCTGGTTTGTGTCCTCTCGTTAACCTAGGGAGAACTATGGGGAAAAGGCCTAACCCCGTACTTCTCCTTTAATGAAGGATTTGACCTATAGCCACTTCCACTGATCTTTAATGGTAACAAGCGGCCACTAGAGGTCCTCATGGTACCCATTTAACTTGTTCTCCTCCGGAGGTGCAAAAAACCATTTCCCAACATATGGTGTACGTTTAATAAACTGTGAAAGAGTGTGATAAGCAGTGAGAAGGCTTTTCTCACCTTAGCAAAGTGAAAAGTCTAGAAAATTCTGTTTAATAACCCGTGATAAGTCAGGTAGGAACTGAAATATCTCACCTCTTCTCATCCTGGTTATAAGTACACAAAGTAATGGAATGTACCTGTTTAATAAAGGGAGAAAAGTAGAGAACAGCTTTATCACTGGATAAGTATTGTGCAAAGTACCCTTGATTTAGCACCCTGTCAGACCTGGTGATAAAGGCCTTTTTTCATAATCAACAAAAAATATTTCATACGGGCGGACGGCAAGAGGTTAAGCGGACGGAATGCGGGTGGGCGTTTTTAAATGTCCTAACCCGCCCTGCGCACGAACGGGAAATCGGCTTTGAATGCAAACAGCCAGCGATGGCTGTTCACATACAAGCGTTCAGACGTCTGTAGAGACGCACGATTACTTGTAATATGCGTGCATTTGTGCGGCCCCCCCTCCGTTGCCGCCGCTGCTGGCGATCCCGAGCTCCGCTGTGCCCGGACAAGCTACAGTGTAGACAAGCTGCGGTGCGAAGTGGAAGGTTCATTTTTTTCGCTTCGCCTGCAGTGTGTCACAGCCTTGAGAGGGAAAAGGAGGGGGGTCTGTCTTAATGCCCCCCTTCCCTTATGAGAGTGGCAGTTTCAAGTCCCCTCACTGTATCTGTGTAGTGTGAGGTACAGTTCAGTAAGGTCATGTGACCTTAGGGCTTGTTGTTGATGGCTCAGTCTCCCTCAGAAACAGGCCCACCAAATAAAGCTTGAAGGATGTCTGGGGAGCATGTTTTTGAGGCAGTTGCAGTGAACATTGCACTCCACACATAACAGTCTGTAAGACCATTTCGCCACCATGGTCCGCCGTTTATGATGCATTAATACCTGCTGCTAGTGTCTTTGCACACACACAGTGCTGATGCACCTATCTCGGGACAGCAGGCTTTTTTCATGGACGCCAAACATTCTAATTTCCAGCATGTGTCAGAGTGCCCACTTACATTGCTAGGCTCCATCAGAGTGCCCCATTAGAATGTTTAACTTTTTCATTCAGTTTGATTCATGTTTTTGTACTAGTACATGCTGAAAAAATCGGAACATGTAAATCCTGCTTTTTAGCAATTTTCATTTTAACAGAGAAATAACTGTTGCACTTTGCTTTAGCGGTGCTTTTTAATATTGTTATTGGGTGGTTTGGCAGAGTAAACCTATGATCCTGTCAGGAGGATTGTAGATTATCACAAAGGATGTCATTGTGCAGCTCAGAATACATTCCCCACATTGCTTTCTCTACTGATCACCTTGACGACTTATCTCAGCCTTTGACAGCTGTTTCGTGTGATAAGTTTTCTTTTCGCAGGTTATTAAACAGCCTCTGTGCAGCCGAGAAAAACAAAGAGATCTGCTGAGTAAAGTTAACTCGTGATAAAGCTAGTTTTATTAAACGTACACCTTAGTATTGATGACACGTGGCTGGAGCCGGTAGAGAGCCGAGCGGCCTGACGGGGAAGGAGCCTCCGCCGATCCGTGAGTGCTGGGAGCAGCTGGAGCTGGGCTCATCTCTACCCCCCGGCAGGCAAAGGATGATACTGGGGATGGGAAGGGGAGCCCGGCCTGGGGGGGATGGGGGCTGTGTGCAGGGCATAGAGAGCAACATCAGTGCTAGGTGTGATGAGTTTCCATTATTTTGAGTATGCAGTGCTCAGAGAACAGGCCTGTGTGCCAGGCTTTCATGCAGCTGACCACCATCACTACTACTATTGCCTTTCAGAGTCCTGAGTCTGTTGCCTTATTGCCCTGAACTATAGAAATGTAGATATTTAATTTTTTTCATTTCTTTTAGGGTGTAAGTGGATACGGGGGTCTGGTTCAGAAAGTAGGGGGTCGGGTGATGCAGGCAGGAAAGTTGTGGGGGCCCATAGCGCAATCTTGCCCAGGGCCCAATTAATATTAACCCCTTCGTGACGGGAGACGTACACTGTACGTCCCGGCACTTTGTGCCTATATGGCTGACCACGTACACTGTATGTGACGAGTTATTTAAGGCTCTGTAATGCCGGTAACCGCTGATTCTCAGAGGTTACTAGTCATTAATGGATGGGTCCATATTGAGGCATTCATTAATGAAAGAATGAAGCCGTTGCATACAAATACGGGATCACTAAATAGCAATCCCGTATTTGACAGCTGAAAATAGCAGAGGTAGCAGAGTGAGTCACCTCTCTGCTCTTTGTTTTGCAAAGAGATACAAGAGGTACAATGTATCTCTGCCTGAAATGTATCACTTCTGATCGTCTGGGCACGATCAAAGACCTTTATGCCTGGTTCACACCTGGGCGTTTTACAGCACTGATCGACGCGCTGTAAACCCCCCAGCAAGTGAAATCCCATACTTTCCTATGGGCATGGTTCCTACCTGGGCGTATTTCAGCGCGTAGGAATGCGCTGCAAAACGCCCTACGCCCAAAGAAGTACAGGAGCTTCTTTGGGGCGTTTTTCCGCGCGTTGCCATTGGTATTCCCAAGTGTGGATCGGGGTTAACAAAGCGGTAACCCCGAGTCACACTCGGGAATACAGCGTACAGGTCTTACCTGGTCCACGATCCCCGCTGTGTCCTCCGGCGGCTGCCGACTACCGGGTTCCGTCCCTTACGAGCAGCTGCGTCGCAGGGGGGCGGAGCCAGCGGGAAGTTTGAAAGTGGGGGAAAAAAATTGAAAATAAGGAAAAAAAACTTTAAAAAAAATCATACCGCCAATGAAACGTGCTTTTTACTGAACGGAAAAACATGCTAAAATACGCCCAGGTGTGAACCTTTTAGATTGTAAGCCCTCAGTGGCAGGGCCCTCCTTACCATCCTGTCTTGAATTGTGACTGTAATGTCTGCCCTATATTGTAAAGGACTGCGCAAACTGTTGGTGCCATATAAATCCTTCATCATAATAACCCAGCCTTAGTGAGATCTGATTCTGACATGCTGTCAGGATCAGTCTCTAAGGTTATTAGCTGTTCCTAAGTTTGGAGCAGCCTAAAAATAGCCAAAAATGTAAAAAAAAGTTAATTTATCAAGCAGTCATAGTGACTGCTTCATATAAACTGACAAAAAAAAACTTAGTTTTTTTTTAAATAAAGTAAAAAAATTAGAATAATTATAAAAAAAATATCAAAACTTGTGAAAAAGTGTTTTCTTATCATTTTTTTAAATATTTTATTCAAAGTGAGGCGTTAAGGACACATGTTTGATATAATTATATAGCCCTAGCTGTCCTCTAAAAAACAATATATAATATGTGCGGGTACATTTAGTAAGAAAGTATATTACTGACGTGGAGGAATCGCACAGCAAATGTAAAAAGTGTGTCAGTCCTTTATGAACAGAAACTGAAAACTAGCTCAGTCATGAAGGGGTTAAAGATGGCTCTGCAGCCACAACGGGGAAGAAGGACCAGACCATACGCTGTACGTCCTGGTCTTTGAATTACATTTTGTGAGGGCGTAAAATGAACGTCTGAGGTCTACAACCGGCTAATATCTTATAATAAGGTGAATTTCTGGAGCCATGAGGAGTCGGACACTTTCAGCAGTTTATTTGAGGTCAATAAATACAAATCACAATTATTACACGGCGGCAGCGTCCGTCCAAAATGCTATAAATAATAGTAAGGTGTCCAATGTGAAGAATACATTAGGTTCATACAATCATCATGGTGTCTGGTGGGCAGGCATGTGCCAAGACATACGGTGCTCCGATATCCGCATGCGTCACACATTCAGCCCTGCGCACTCTTCCCTTCACACATACGCCGTCCTCATACTCTCCAGGATCTTCCATAGAGAAGTGATGCTTCT